AAATATATTTTATTGATTTTTTACAGAGAGGAAGGGGGAGAGATAGAGAGTTAGAAACATCGATGAGAGAGAAACATCGATCAGCCGCCTCCTGCACATCTCCTACTGGGGATGTGCCCGCAACCCAGGTACATGCCCTTGACCGGAATCGAACCCGGGACCCTTCAGTCCGCAGGCCGACGCTCTATCCACTGAGCCAAACCGGTTTCGGCCTTTAACTTGATTCTTGCGCTCTTCTGGTCTGCTGTTGGGCTTCTGTATAATATTCTTTATTTCAGTCAGTGTATGCTTAATTTCTAGTTGGTTCTTTATCACAACATCGAGGGTCTCATTAGATTTCTTGAGGATCTCACTATATTTATCAGCGGTCTCACCAGTCTTTTCGAAGGCCTTACTAAGTTTATCGGCGGCTTCTAGACAGTTCTTGAAAGACCTTAAAAGTGTGGTTTTGAACTCTATATCCTCCATTTCTGTCATTTGTGTCCTGTTTCTTTGTCTCTGCATTTTTTATGCTTTCTTGGTGCACCCCCTTGTGGTCTTTGTGCGCAGTCTTGTTGTAGTTAAGCCTTGATTGTTGTAGGTAACACTGGGGGGGATTTGACCTCCAGGCCAACTGGCTGTGAGAATCAAGGCAACATGTAACTTTCACTTTCAGGAAATTGTGTTATGAACACCCTCTCCAATAGGAAGTTTCTTCCATACAAATCAACTAAGGACGGAGAACCTGATTTGATAAAGGACATGGCTTAGTCATTCCTTGCTATGGAGCAATATCCCCACTAGCCTAGTGACACTACACATTCGTGACTGTCTGACAGCTCTGCAGTCGGGAGCAGAGCATGGCATAAGCGGTGCCTTTGATTCGGGGCTCACGAGACCAGGGTTTTGGCTGAGACTGTGGTCTCCCCTGAGTGTCCAGGAGGAAAGGAGATGCTTCCAATCTCACCCCGGTTGTGGGCAGAATTCGGTTTCCTGCAGGTGTAGGACTGAGGGTGGATCTCCTGTGGCTGCGGCTGCAGGCGTCCTCAGCTCCGAGAGGCCACAGGGAGCTTCTTGACCCGTGGGCCTCCCCAGCGTGGCCACTTGCTGCTGCACAGCCCACAGAGCAGAGGGCCAGCAACTCCAGCTGAATGGGCACTGCAGTCGGTGTGAGGGAACCCGTCATTGTGTTGGTGCCACCACAGTGGACGTGTGCTCTCCTGCTGTCTTCAGACGTGTTCCTTGATGGGGGTTAGGGGGTGGGGGTTTGATGGGGTCAGGATAAGCCAGGGTGTCTTACCAGGAACCACCATTTGGGGTTGAGTGACAGTGTGTGTGTGAGGAGGGTGTGGGCACGAGGTGCCTGTGGACTTAGAAACTTGAGAGAAGTGGCCACTGAATTGTGGTTTGGGTGATCTGTGGTTGTGAATCAGGAGAGTTAGATGTTAGGAGAATTTTTGACAAGTGGGAAAAGGGAAACTGAGACAGATGGTTAGACAAATGGGGTCAATTAGAGCAATTTACAGCCTGCTAATAAATTGCAAGATCTTATCTTTCCTAACCAAGGACACTTGAGAGCAAATGGTTTACAATTCTCCTTCCTAAAAGTAAATAGCTTAAATCACCCTGGTCAGGGAGATAACAGAAACCCAGCTACTGTCATTAATGCCAGCCAAACCCCAGCACAAATGAAGTCAGGGGAACAAATACCAAAAAAACACCCAAATTAGAATCAAGCAAATCCAAGATAGAGGTAAAGCTCACCAGAAAATGACGCTGGTCCCGCTATTTCAGCGGTTCTCAACCTGTGGGTCGCGACCCCTTTGGGGGTCGAAGGACCCTTTCACAGGGGTCGCCTAAGACCATCGGAAAAACACATATATAATTACATATTGTTTACAGTAGCTAAATTACAGTTATGAAGTAGCAACGAAAATAATTTTATGGTTGGGGGTCACCACAACATGAGGTCGCGGCATTAGGAAGGTTGAGAACCACTGCTCTATTTGCTCAGTTTGACACATCAGCATATTAAAAAACACACCTGGGAAGCTGATGACTATGTTGCTGAGGCCCTCCCCTAGGATTCCCGCCTTTAGGAAACAGATAAGAACCCTCAAAGCAAAGGACCCAGCGTGTGCTCTCCTTGGACTACGCCCACACCCCTCCTTTTCTGGGGCATGTACTTTTGCTCTCTTTCTCCTAAACCCTGAAGGTCCCCACTGGACTTGCAACCAGGGGAGCAGTGGGCAGCAGTAGCTCCTCCGGGGCTAGCACTGGAACCTGCCTTCAAGGCCGCCCGTTCTCTCACTTTTCAGTGAGCTAACAGCAGCCTCACCTTGGCTCCCTTCTGTCATTGTGACTTTTACTTCGCAGTGAGTCCTGGCAACCCAGCGTGGCTCACTTCTTTCCTATAAAATTTCTACAGGGCCAAAGCAGCCCCTCCTCGGCTCTCCTGCTGCTGCTTCCATGCTAAGCCCTCCCTTTATTTCACTGTCCCAGCTTTAGTAAACGTTCTCTCAAAATCACCTGGACGGGTATTGTAAAATCTTCCCAGCACGAAGTCAAGAACCTACACCTCACTCCAGGCCATGGGAGGCGGATGGCTCAGGCGGACTCCGTTCTCATGACAGTTGCAGGATGGAGGTTCTCGCTTTTGGCTGGCTGCTGGCTGGGGTGGCCATGTTCCTAGAGGCCACATCAGTGCTTTGCTATTGGAGCTTCTCCAACATGCTTGCTTAGTTCATCCCGCCCACAGGAGAGTCTGCAATCTGGTCAGGAGTTTTATGTAAAAGTGACCCTAGGAATGACATCCCAGCAAGTCAGAGCCCTCCCACGCTCCCGGTGCAGGCGCTGCAGGTCCGCCACCGCGCAGCAGGCGGCGCCGGGCTCGCCTCCT